AGTGGAACCTTTTTTCTTGGATAGTTTGTTTGCACATTATTTAATACTCTTGAATGATATTCACATTTTTGTGATAACAGTAGTCTCCTTTATCAACTCTGACTTAAGTCTTTTGTTAGTTAAGCTATTGAAACCTTTGTCAGTTTCCTTTTCACTGTGTCAGCTGTTTGATGTTGACCATTAATATGTCTTTTCCTGTTTCACATGTTTGAACTGTGGTGTGTTTTATTTTGTCTTTCCTTGTTTTGGACTTGGTTCCATCTTCAGGTTGATATTTATACTTAGGTTTAAAAACCAGATCTGTTTTCATCATTATCCTGGTTCTTACTTCTAAGAATGCTTAGATTACTCCAGAGTATTTGCTGTTCCCTTTCTACTCTTACATTTATGTATTATATGTCCCTAGTTGTCTGCACATGCGATTAATGATTGATACAAACTGCCCTGCAGTATTTTCTCACTTATATGACTGAGGCATCACATGCTGTTTCCATACTTAAAACAATACAGTTTGTTGATATTTATGAAATATATTGAAAATCCAGCAAGCCGTCACAGAAGTGTGTAGTGTATATACATGTACTTACTGAATACTTGTAAAGTACACACATGTGGATTAGTGTGAACTGACAGTCGGCCATCTAGTAGAAAGATTTGGGTACACAATTCAGTTAACCTGTTCTTCATTCTCCTTGCACAGCCTACTGGAGCACCTTTATGGGTAAAATCTGTGTGCTACATTGCTTGAAAAGGTTCTGTAGGACCAAGACCTTTTTTATCATTAACAATTTTTAAATGAATTTAAATTTTTACTTTGATTTCATTCTGTACCAACTCTCACAACAAGAAAACATGGTTGGCCTGTTTCACAGAGAGCAAGTAGTAGATACATTTATGCCTTTAGACATTTTCCATGTAATGACCCCATTTTAACTCAGAAGGTCTTCCCTCCACACTGATGCTGAGTCTGTGTGTAAGCTGACTACTGTTCTCGTTTACACTGCAGTGTCCTCTCACATGGCAGAGCAGGTGGGAAGGCCCCGAGGATCCTCTTCAGTACCTGCGAGGTCTGGTAGCCCGAACCCTTGCAATTCAGGTGAGAATGGACTGCTAGAAGCAGAGGTTGTGGCTCTGACTACGGTATGTAGATTTACCTATAGAAATATCCTTAGTAGTGAGAATGATGGGAATTTTCATCTTTATGTCATTTCAAATGTTTATATCACACTCTTCAAGATGTCTGCTGTCCACGGTTTTTTGTTTGTTTAGTTAGTTGGTTGGTTGGTTTGGTTTTTTGTTTTTAAAAATATTGATAATATGGAGAAATTCTACAGTTGTCCAGCTGGATTGTACAGATAGTGACTAAGGCAGCAACAAAAGCCCCGTCAGGACTGAGATCTGACTGCTGTAAGGAGTGTTCCTCCTGTGGGGAAACACTGCTTATTTTCCTACTGATGGCTTTTTTCCCACAGCTAACCAGGTAGGTATCCTAGGAAAATAAACTGAGTTAAGGGGTAACAGTGAACAGGAATTCTCTGTTTAGTTGTTCGGGTGGGACAAGGTAGTGGCCATGAGTCATAGGTACTTGAAAATGCTTGTCCTTCCTTCTCACCTACAGACAAGTTTGTCTGAGATTATTCTAGCTAGTTTTCATGCTAAACTAGAAGAAGCTGACCTGTGGCTGTAGACTCACCCGGTGCCCATGTGGCTAATTCCCTGGCTTTCCTTTCTTTAGAGATCCCATCAAGCTGTGTGGGACAGTGTGCATCTTCTCCTGCTGTCTTTTCATCTTTTTCTGAACTCAGCTTCCCTTCCTACAAAAGGGACTTCTCTACAGGATTGGGACCCATCTGAATTTTTGTTTGGTGTCTCGTATAACCATTGTGGGATTATTCAAGAAAAGATACTGGAATGAGAACCACATTAATCAATAGGGAGAACCACACAGAGACATTGATTGACTTACTCCATCTGTTCTAGAGGTTGCTTTACATGATCTGTGAAGAATGGGAAGGAGGGAAGGAGAGAGAGAAGGAAGAAGGGAGAAAGGAATGGATAGAAAGAGAGAAGGAGGAGTCTACAGTGGTCTCTAAAAGTGCAGGAGTGCTCACACGTCTATGTGCTCTGTTACCGACTGGGGTAACTACTCTGACTGTGGAGTTAGTGTTACTGGCTTCACTTATTTCATATAAGGACAGAGGTTTTTGCTTCAAAAAGTGTTCAAATAACCTTAATTGTCCTCTGCTGTTGTTATATTTTGTTGATACTAAAATTAATCCTTGAAAATAATTCTACATGAACAATTGTAAATTTGAGCACGACTACTCATCCGTAGCATGACTCTTCATCCATAGTATGTTGAATACTAGCAATCAGCTATAGACTTTGCCTCTATATGACCATCTTTAAAACTGTATAAGAATCCCTGACTCAAGATCAAAACTTTTGGACTTAATCATGCTTTCTTTCCAACCAACAAATACTTCTCACTACTACTACTTGGGTTTTTGTTTTGTTTTCTCTTGTTTGTTTTTTATATTTTTTAACATCTTTTTTTTTTACTAGCTTAATATTTTCTTTACTTGTAAGTATGCAAAGTACCATGTATCCCTGAAGTGATCTTTATTGTCTAGGATTTCAGTTTTTTTGGGGTTGTCTTCTGTGTTTCATTTCCAGAGCAGCTCATGATGGTAAGAAAAAGACACAGGCCCTGGTTGAATAAAGCAGCATAGACCTGGGCAGGCAGGCAGGCTCAGAGTTTATCTATAGTAATCATTGACAGTGGAATCTTGTAGCTTCTTATAAAAATGTGTTATGTCACTAATGTTTCAGAGTGAATATTAACAGTTTGAGCAAAGACCTAGCCATAGTCTCAGATCCCAGGGTTTTACATTTGGAGCACAACATGAGGGCAAAGTCAGTGGCTGCTGAGGGTTTCACATAGAGTGCTGGTTATTATGATAGGATTTGTGCAACTCATGTAAAAACGATGACAGGATGGTGTTTATTTGTTCAGTTAAAAACATTATAAACAGCTGCTGAATGCCAGGGCCCATGTGAGTACTGGTGACATAATGATTAGTAAATAGAGTTAGCTTCTGCCTCACAAAAAATTTACAGACATAGAAATTTCTGCCTGCTTCTGCCTCCCAAGTGCTAGAATTAAGGTCATGTGACACCACCACCTAGCTAAAGTGTCTATTTCTTATATATATTCATTTTAGCAATTAAAATTTGTCAATGTGATTATTGTTTCCTGGTGACACACAGTGTAAGATTGCTTAAAGTAGAGCACATACAACTGTAGGCTAGAGTGAGAACAGCGGGAGAGCGTTGAGAACAGAGCTGTGGGAGGAGACAGGAAGAGACACAACTATTGGGGGCTCAGAGCTCAGGCTGGCAATGAGGAGACACATGTCTTCCACAGAAACAGGCCAGCATCAAGAGGTAAACATCACAGCTTCAATAACTAAAATAGCTTCTTTAAGTCTAAGGCTCCACTGGAGAGAAGAAAGGGCTAAGTCATGACAGCATGTTAGAAGTTATCTTTGATTTTTAGGGCAAACAATCCCTGTCGTAAGAAATATTACATTATATTTTACAGGGATTGGTTGCCTACATTTAAGGTCTCTGTGCTAGTTGCATTTCCTGCATAGAGAAGCTTTTCTGATGAGAATTGTGAAATGTACTATTGTATGTAGATGATTATAAGTCATTTGGAATCAATTTAATATCATGTCCATTTAGTAAACAGATAGGCTTGTCCATTTAGTATTAGGGCCCGTGGCCTGTCTCCCCACAGGTTCCTGGCCCCAACAATGGTGCTAAGCATGGGTTTCATCTTGTGAAAAGGACCTTAGGTTCAAGCAGAAAGTATTTGGTTGCTACCATGATGTATGTGCCTCTATTACACCAGTAGGTGTGTCTTGCCAGGCTAGTCATCATTATAGCTTTCAGGGTTCACAGCCAGGTAAGATTGATCATTACTTTTCTTGTCAGAGAGTGTAGATAGTATGTTCTTACACAATGAAAGCCAGCCAGTTAGGATGGAGCTTCCAGATCTGTACCAGCTTGATTTCTCCATGTCTTATGACCCAAGTATGTGATGTGTTCAGCAATAGGGTCTTACCATCAAGTCTGGAGAGCAACCATGAGTATTGGTAATAACTTGTAATACTTGATGATCTGTGAGGCCTCACTAGCCAACAACTCCAAAAGAGGTAACCATTCCCAGCACTGGGAAGTTGCTGTTGTTGTTAGCCTGTGATAGCTTGTAAGGGCATTGTTGCCCCTTTATAACATAACTCCTTTGTATCTTATAAAGCATCTATAATAGTAGGCCTGCTTCCATGTGACTTTTTAAAAAGGTTTTTAGTGTTAATTACCCCTCCCATTTACCTTCGCTGCCCTGTCCTCCCACTGGGTGTACCAGTTTGACCCATCAATTTCTGTTATTATGTTGTAACACTGCATTCTCTCTCCCATCCACCTCTTGAAAGTCCATCCTTATGACCATGTATTAACTTCTGACTCCTGTGTGTATTCCAAATAAAACACATAGCCAAGGATTAACACTAACATCCACAGACGAGAGAAAACATTCAACATTTGTCTGTCTAGGTCTGGGTCACCTCACTCAGAGAATGATTGTTTCCAACTCCATCCATTTATCTGAAATTTCGTAATTGTATTTTCCTAGTGCTTGAATAATACTGAACTTGTAAGTGCACACTCACTATCCAGGCATCAGGTGATCTGGAACACGTAGGGTGTTTGTGATTGTGCACCCATGATCAGCCTTAGTAGACCATGGAGTCCTTTAGGTATATGCCCAAGAGTGGGATAACTGGGTCTCCTGCTGTTTCTAGCTTTCTGAGGAACCTCCACACTGATTTCAACAGTGACAGGCCAGTTTTTGTGTTCACTAACAGTAAGTGTTCCCAATGCCCCACACCCATGGCAGCATTTTTAATCCTTTGCTTGATCTTAGCCATGCTAACTGTTGTAAATGAAATCTCAAAGTTGTTTTAATTTGCATTTCTGTGGTGGCTAAGGATGCTGAACATTTTTAAATGTTTCTCAGTTGTTTATACTTTATCTTTTGAGAATTCTATTTAATTGTATGCCCTATGTTCAGTTGGGTTGCTCGTTGTTTTGTTTAGGTTTTTGAGTTCAGTGTATATTTTATACAATAACTCTCTGTCCAGTTATTCTGCCTCTTCCCTCAAATAATGGTGCCACTTGTTTTATGGAACTTTTTTGTTTCATGAGGTCTCATTTATTTTCAGTCTCAATGCCTATTCTTTGTTGTCTTGTGTTTTCCCTTCTGTCATATTTAAGGATTCTGGTTTTCTCTTGAGGTCCTTGATCCATTTGGAGCAGAGTGACTTTATTCTTCTGTGTGCAGCACTTGGTCCCTAGGCCGTCTGGAGAGTCCCTGGTGGGGAGTGGGCAGGGATCTGGAGAGTCCCAAAGGGAAGGAGTGAGACTGTGACAAGGTGGCTGTCCCTGACTCACAGAATGTAGCAGAGACTGAGAGGGGCAGTCGGTGCTTACCAGGGTTGCCAGGCCATGTGCAGTGGCTAGGAAGCTCCTGTGGGGCTTGGCCATGTGCCTTTAATTTTGTTAATAATCTTGTAATTGTCTTCCATTGCCTTAAAGTCTCATTTTAATATATAAAAGAGATGCAGAGAATTTCTGCAGAATTTGACAAAGATAAAGAGGTGTGGTGTGTCTAACCTGTATAAAAATGATACTTGGTTGCATTACACCTGAACTATTCGTATTCATGAGGAAACAGCTTTATTATTCAATTCTATATAGAGAATTCATAAAAATAGAGCTTTGGTAAGATAGTACTTTTAATGTCATTTTCTACTTTTTAATCTATGTGTCAATTATCTGGTAGCCCATCTCCCCTACCTTGTAAGCATTTGTCATAGAATAAGTGTTTTTAATAGAATGAGTATAACTTGAACTCATAAACTGTCTTATAGCTAGCATCATTATGAGAGTGTTTACTATTCTAGTTGATGGTTAGACCTGGGAGAATCTAAAAATGAGCAACTAAAGTTTTTATGCAATAGTCAGCTGTATTCAAGTATCAAACAATTTGTACTCTGAGGGTTATGAAGAGTCACATGAGTAAAGTGTAAAATCACAAGGGCAAGCCACAGTAGAAAAACAGGCTTTTCTATAGAGGCATATAAAGAAATAACAGTACTCAGAAGTCCCAATTCATGACTCAGTTCTTAGATCATGTTCCTATATTACAATATTTTGAAATCTTTTCATATCACTTTGGAAAATCGATTCATTTATGGTATAGTCAGAATCTATATTTGACCATCTCCAGGATTCATTGTGGCCTAACCCAGGAGTTGTCCTGATTGCTGTTCTGAGGTTAGATGTGTGTATAATGTTTAAGAAATTGTGTGGCACATTTGTCAGTCCAACCTGTTAGCTGTTCACTCACCTAGCTTCATGTCTATATTTGTTGCACATTATTTAAATAATTAGAGCTGTGAAGACTCATGATCATAGATGAGACTACAGGTGTTAGGTCTTACAGGAACCCATGGGGCAGTGGCCGTGGCCAGTGGCATTCATGAAGGGGAGTCTTTGACTAACAGGTTCTTGCATGTGATTCTGCTCACTGCAGTTTTGCTGTGATCCCAGGATGACTGTATGCATTTCTTATTAAAAAACAACTGGTGCCTAATTTTTATTTCCATGGTCATAAATCAATGTAAGTATAATTCAAATGTGGAAAAAAGGCAATTCTTACCTCACTATAAGATTTGCTAATCTGTTATTACAACTATTAAAAGAAGCTTTGTTACGTAGGCCTTATCTGCCAGCACCCTTATATTAATCTAGCTTTAAGCTAAGTAGACTAACAAGTTTTTATTTTTTCCATGGACTAACAACATTTTTACCAAAGAAACTTTTCCTTGACTAATTATCTTAATCTAAACTTAATAAAGTAAAAATCTGATTATCAGCTACTCTTCAGTTTTTAATTAGTTTAAGCATATATAAATCCACTTCTGAAATCAACCGTTTGGGGTATTAGAATTTAAAATTGATTTTAAAGTATTAATATAGTAATAGTATAATTGTAAATATTTATATTAAATGATTCATTAAAAGGATAACTTCCTGGCTGTTGAGCTAATAATGCTCAAATGTTCTACCATTGAACTATACCTCCTCTGTTCTGCTAATCATGAAAGACAAACAGATGAGATTGCACACAGCATTATTGTAACGTATAATATCAGAGAAGGAGACTCACAATTGTCCATGAGAACCTCGTTTTAAGTCATTAAAAAAATCAATACGTGTCTACCACAAGGCTATACAGTCATCTTTGTCATAAGACTTTTTACTAGTCAGGTACATTGAGACTAGTATGCAGATGTGGAGACTGAGAGTCTGGTTATAATAAGAACAATGCTTGCATCCTGGCTGAGCTGCAGGGGTATGAAATAGGCTGTTACAGAACTAAGCTCATTGCTTTCTATTCATGTAGCACTAATGACTTTCTTAGACTGTTTATAAACCATATAAAACAAATTGCTGAGGAAGTACCATCTATGAGCAGTAACTGACTGATATCCCTGTGTTCTACCTCTGTGCACCAGCTCAAGTGATAGATTGCTTCAGAGAGCACGAGGAAGCCACCTTTTAGCATTAGGACCTGCAGAAATCTTACCAGAAGAAACCACCAAGATGCCTGGGTTTATTTCTTGGCTTTAACAACTGCAGTGGAACCTGAAGCAAGACCTTGACCTTTAACCTCATGTGTTTTAAAGGGCAACTCTAACTTGCATGTGGTGGCACACAGACAGTTGGTTAGTGTAAGCCTGCAGTTGCTGTTGCACAAGACTGTTGATGCATTTGTTCCAAGTGACAACTTTTGAGTTTTTATCATACTGTATGTTGACTTGTGTGAATGCAGCAGAACTGACCTGTAAAGTAGCAGGAGTGAAGAGACTACTTTACAACCTTTTAGAGAGACTCATTTCTTCTTGGCCATTGACCAGTGTGTTGCTGAGAGGAGAGTCCTCAGGACTCAGGATGTGCAACTCTGTATCCAGTTTACGTGAGCAAACATCACTATTTGCTGTTGAGGGACCAACCCTAACTGCCACACACAACATGAACTATCCCATTTTAAGCTTTATTTTGAACATATTTGTACAGTGAAAAGGAGGCTTACTTATGGTGGGTAGATAACTACATCAAGCTTTTGCAAGACAGAATGAAAGTATCATTTTTTTCTAGACAATATTTCAAAGCAACTGGAAAATGACTCTATAGCAATTTGGTTGAAAACGGCTTGTGCATAACTGTACCATCTGTGTCCTTCCTTTCCCTTCTTCCTCTAGAATTGGGTAGAGAAAGCTGAAAAGCAAGCTCTTCTCGCTGATACGCTTGACCTATCTGAGCTCTTCCATCCGGACACATTCCTTAATGCTCTTCGCCAGGAAACTGCAAGGTACTCAGAATGAATACATTTTCCCCTCGGGGTAATTATGTTTTGTTTATTCACCTCTAGTCACATTGTCTTGGTTATCAAGAGTAATCTTATTCTTGACGCTTCTATAGGTATACTATTCCTCCAACAGCTGGCCTTTAACAACAGTCAACTTTTACTTTTGATATCGTTGCTTTATTAAAATATGAAAAAAATTAATTCCTAAGTTTGGTAATTTTTTAAATCCAGATTTGCACTATCCAAAATAGTAGCCAGTGGTCTATTTAAACATAAGCTATATAGACAAAAGAATTTACTTTCTTAGCACATTAGCCAAGTTCACAGTGTTTGATATAACCACAGATAACTGGAGATTACCAACTTAAACTACCTGAAAACATTTTACACAATCTTTTAGGAGGCTGCTCTGGATAAATCTTGTGGTGAACAGAGCTGATATTTATTGTCAAGTGGGTCTGTGTGCCAGTGACAGATTACTGCACATATATAGGCACTGTTCGTAACAAGGCAAAAGATAAGGAAGATTTCTAAAATATTCTGAGGAAGAAGTAAGAGTTTAGTTCTGGGGCCTGGTATTGACCTTTACTCAGAACATTTTTTGTTCATTCAATAAAAGCTTCCTGAATATCTTTTATATACTAAAATTTGAGGACTGTGGTAAAAATGTAAAGTGTAAACTGTCAAAGGCCCTCCTCCTATGAAACTTGTAATCTCAAAGGAAGACTTACATTTAAGCAACTAATGTTAAAAACCTTAGGTATTATAAATTTGGTAGCTCATATTTTGAAATTGTAAATATTTGTATTTAAAATGTCATTGAAAAAATATACATAACATATATTTTAAATTGATATAATCTGGTTCTAGAGATTGTCCCCTGGGGTTTATGCCTACTGAGTACATATTCTATTGCTAGACCTGTATGTGTGCAACAGAGAGTTATTTATCATGACATTTGGTGCTTGCTTTTCTAGGGCAACAGGCTGCTCTGTGGATAGCCTTAAATTTGTAGCATCCTGGAAAGGTCGACTTCAAGAAGCAAAGCTGCAGATTAAGGTACTAACTTGCGGTATTTAAATTTAAAATGCATCACTGAGGTGAAATGTACATTTCTGACTCATAGGCACCTATTCTAGTGTAAAGAGCAGCATAATCAACATAATGTAAGATCAACAGAACTCAACCATAGATTAGTCTAATTATGAAAGATTAACATGAAAGACCTTGCAATAAGATATATGTGATCTAATGTCAAACTTTAAGTATATTTTGAAAAAGCAAAATCCAGTATGCGTTATTTTTAAATATACTTTTAAATCATGACCACACACATAATAGTAGTGCTCAAGAGTGCCTCTACCTAGGTCAGGTCTATTCACAGGTCAGTGTTGGCCTCACTTTCTTGTCTTAATTAGGGTTTTGTTGATGGAAAGAGACACCATGACCAAAGCAAGGCAACTCTTACAAAGGACAGCATTTAATTAAGTTTGGCTTAAGTTTCAGAGGTTTAGTCCATTATCATCATAGCGGGAAGCATAACAATGTCCAGCAGACATGGTACTGGAGAATGAACTGAGAATTCTACATCTTGATCCTAAGGCAAAGAGGAGACTGCCTTCCTCAGACAGCCAGGAGGAGATTGTGGTTCTACACTGAGTGGAGCTTGAGCACTAGAAGACCACCAATGACACATTTCCCCTAACAAGGCTACACTTCCTAATTGTGCCATTCCCCAAGAGCCAAGCATTCAAACACATGAGTCTATAGGACCAAACTTATTCAAACCACTACACTCAGTATCCCCAGTGACTGCTGACTGTGCCCTAAATCACTTGAGGAGTCCTCTGTGTAACATCTCATGCTCCTGAAGACTTTTTTTACCCACATGGTGTCAGTATAGCATTGTTAAAAGTCTTATCAACAATAACAGGCCAAAGCAAGTAGCAAGCTGAGCCTAAGTTCAGGCACTGGAGAAGAAATCAACTCTTGATGGGTCCAGCTTTAGTATCATCTTTTCCAGGCAGTGGCAATTGAGACAGTAGGCTATCTCTGTACGGAAAGACTGATGGAAGATAGTAAATAATATCCCGTATCCAACACAGTCCCATTCCTGCAGAGAAACAAGTATACAGCACTGTTACTTACGAACTGCACAAACTGCATCCAAGAACTGCTCAGTCAAGGAGTAAAATAGTATATGTGTGTGGTGTGTGTGTGTGTGTGTGTGTGTGTGTGTGTGTGTGTACATGTACTTACATATGCTAAGTAAGTTTATGAGTTGGTGTTGGACTGCATCCTCCAGCTCAGGTTGGATATGCTGATGAAATTAATAAATTGATTCTGGAGACATAAATGTTGAGTTCTAGAAATAAAAATACAGGAAAAATGTGTTTACCAAGATTTCCAAAGAGAAAAAATAATAAAAGCTTTAAGAGAACACTCCTGTTTCTTCTCCACCTAGTGTGCCTTTAGTTTCTTTGCTTGTTTAGCTAATGCAATTTTATATGGAGATTTGATAAGCTCCAGTTCCAAACCATTTTCTCCATTGTTTCTTTTTTCTGACAGTTTTTTTATTTTAATAGTTTTATATTTAAAGTGTGATTCATTTGACTTTCAGGTATGAACTTTAAGACAAGGGTTGTTTTTGTTTGGTTGGTTGTTTTTTTTTTTTTTCTTCCTTTTTTTCCTATTGAACTAGAACTGCTGCAGCAACTAGTATAGAAGATATCCTTCAGTTGGAACTCTTAATTTTTCAGATATTTAATGTCCTTAAGCCTCACATTATGTAATTTATATCTACTTCAGTGTAATACAAACTTAATTCCATTGATATAGAAATATTCCTATACAACCTATCCCTGCTATTCTATGCAATACATACACAGAAGTATATGTACATGTTATAAAATTAGCAATGTATTGATTCTTATTGCTACATAGGCATGTACATATTCACACAGATGGTTACATCAACTTTTGGTTTACCATTCTTGACCTCTCATTTCTTTTTATTGCCTTTAGGCTATGACTAGTATCATTTTTCTCTCTCCCTCTCCTCCTTTTCTATTCACATTCCTTCATTTATTTTGGCTTTGGTGCTGTGCTGTTATGCCCAGATCTTGGGATTCACATAAGAGCTCAAAGAATTGCCAATCCCATGTAGTGAGACAAAAGAGTCTTCCAATAACGCGAACCTGGTTCTGCAAAGGGCAGGATTGCGACACCGTCTAGGAGCTCTGGATATCTATACACAGGCAGATTCTGGGGTTTCTGAGTTATATGACAAAGAAAGTGATAAGGGAAGTCGTCTCTCAAACAGAATACCATTTGTTTAGGTGGTAGGCGGGATTGCACAACTGGGGAGGGAATCGCTTCTGGGCTTTATGTTGCTGTCAGGGACTAGTGTTGTCCCAAACAGGCCACAGCTGTCTGGGAATGCTTGATTGCCCCAAAGTATGGCACTTGTCTCCCCAAGGATGTTTGGTCTTGTACTTTCCTCAAGGACGGGGGCCACCGGCTCTGGGGAGTGCTTAGCCATCCATCAGAGAGGGTGCCAGCCTTGGTGACATGGGGACTGGGAGTTGTTGCTGTTGGTCTGTTCCCTGGAGAGGGTTTTCATTAGGGCGTGCCATTATAGACCGGGGGATTGTGGTATTTCTGCTCCAGGCTGTGCCTTCTTTGAAAGGTCAGGCAGCCAGGCAGCGGGAAAGAGCAAGATGGGTGAGGGGAGACATTCAGTGAGGGAGTACTGAGGCAAGGAGAAGCTTTGTGACAGGTGAGTGTGTGGAGGCTGGCTGCCCAGCCTCTACAGTGGATTGAACCCAGGACCTTCTTAACCTTCCATATAAAAGAAGTGCTCTATCTACCATTGAACTCCATTGCCAGCCCAAGTGTATTAGTAAGGGCTCTCTAGAGTCACAGAACTTATGTGATATCGCTATGTATGAAGGGAATTTATTGCAATGACTTAGTCTACAGTCTACCTAACCTAACAATGGGCAGCTGTGAATGGGAAGTCCAAGAATACAGTAGTTGCTCAGTCCCATGAGGCTAGTTGTTTCAGCTGGTTTCTGTATAAGCTAGAATCCTGAAGAAGTAGGTTCCAACAGATGTGCTGGCAAGTGTAAGTGGATGAAGAAGAGTGAGTCTTCCTTCTTCTAATGTCCTTATGTAGGCCTCCAGCAGAAGGTGTGCCCTAGATTAAAGGTGTGTACTACCATGCCTGGAACTTGCTTTGTCCCAGGCTGCCCTTGAATTTAGAGATCTATTTGCCTCTGTCTTCTGAAATTAAAGGTATGTACTACCTTGCCTTGGCCTAAACTTTTCATGACCACTGTGCCTCAAGATCTCCAAGTCAAGATCCTGTTCAGAAGCCTGTGCCTTCCAGCCTCAAGATCTGGGTCACAGGTGTGCCATTTCTGGATTGTAGTTCGTTCCAGATGTAGTCAATTTGACAACCAGGAATAGCCATCACACCAAGTATTATATTCCAATATAGCATTGGGGTTTTGTTATGTAAATTTAATTCTAAAGTTATCAAACTGACAAAACAATTATATTCATAGCTATATGAACTTTCTTTTAAAGAGGAAAAAATATGTATTCTTTTGTAATTATGCATGTACCTTTATTCATGTTCTTTTTCTCTGTTATGTATTCTGTGTGAAAACTGTCTATTGTCATTGAATTTTGATATGATGAGCTTTCTTTCAAGGCAAATTTGCTAAAAACAAATTCTGATTTGCTGATCTAGGGGGAAAAATGAAATAATATAAAACTCATTAGCAGAAATAGACAAAAGAACAGAATAGAAATACCTTAAAATCAATGCTGAAACAGTTTGTGTGGTAGGATATACAGCAGTAACCTTTTGTATTCAGGTTAGAGACAAAATAAATAAGTTATATAATTGCTATTTGCATTTATAAACAGCAAAACTATCCCCTAAGTGTGTACAGACATGTAAATCACATTTGGGTGCTCCCTAATGGACTCAGTAAAGTGTTTCAAGATTTCATTTCCTGTATACAGAAATGAGATAGTAGAATAGATTCATTTATTTAGAAAGTATTGTAAAATCCTCTGGTAAGAATTATCCAAATAAGATCTGCCTCACTTTAATGGGTTGTTTATATAATTTTTATATGTCTAGGTATCACTGGCTGAAACTTACTGAACATTGTCTATGTATCCGACAGTGTCACACATAATTTACTCTGTGTCAGGTTGGTCCTCCTCTCAGATAGCCTGTGGCTCTGTATCATGGAGATCCTATAGTTTTAGATCTGTAGGACCAGCCTTTTCAGGTTCTCCAGGAGTTCATTGATGGGGTAGAAGTTGGGGTGGGGCAATTCAAAGCCCTGGATCTGGGCCAGAGAGATAATTGAGCTGGTCAGCCCACTGGCTCTCCTCTCATACCCTCAGGACTGGCTTACCAGCAACCCCTGCAACAAGGGCCAGGGATGCTCTGCTGCCAAGGGGGAGGGGGAAGGCCTACTTTCCTGAGTGCTCCAGCAGGTGATGGACAGGGCCAGAACTCCTCCTCTCTTGACCCCAGGGCCAGCCCTCCCACCTACTGTAGCTGACAAAAGATGAGGGTGGAGGAGGGCATCTTTCCCTTGCTATGCCACAGCACAGCAGACAAGAGTCAGGGCTGGCTCACTCACAAACCCCATATTAAGGGCCAGCTTTACTATGCTGCCCAGGAGAGGTACAGGGCCTGCTCTTCAGCCTGCTGTAGTTGGCTGTGGTGGATGGAGGCAGCTTATTTTGAAGCATCTCTCCCTATCCATCCCTTGTCATCAAACAACAGATAAGTGGTGGACCATCTTTCCCAAGCTCAGACTCACAGGACCAGATCACCCATACCTCCTACATCAGGGTACATCTACTCCTACATCTACTGTGCTGCCTAGGCAAGATGCAAGGCCTGTTCTTACAAGGGGAGATTTTACTGTTAAGAGTCTCCTTCTTGGTTTATAGCAATCTTCACAACAGTCATTTAAGATAGGCATTCTTCCCATGTTTTAAAGGAGGAAACTGAGCTATAACTCATTAATAAAATAAAATAAAATAAAATAAAATAAAATAAAATAAAATGTGTCACAAGATATGTAAGAACCACATGGTCATGGTCGTTTTCTGATTAGGCTTCTCTCTCCCACTTCCTGGAGAAGAGTTAATTTGTGTTTTGCTTTTATTTTTCTAATAAACCTGACATTTGTGAATTTTTTATAGAATGTTAGCTATAAAAGTAAGAACTGTCTAAAGAAAGTTCACAATGAACAAGATCAGACTTTGTATGTTCTCCAAATAAAAGACCCTAATCTGTTTTCACAGCATTTGGGATGCTGAGCCTTTGACCCTAACCTCCAACATCGTATGCCTGGTGCTTCAGAATTTAGTTTGTATTATAATGGCTCTCCTCTTTTCTTTGCAGATCAGTGGCCTGTTACTGGAAGGCTGCAGTTTTGATGGCAATCGCCTTTCAGAAAACCAGCACGATTCTCCCAGTGTGTCATCAGTTCTTCCTTGCTACATGGGCTGGACTCCACAGGTAAGCCGAGGATGCACAGCTTCCAATTTCATTGGTTCACTCTTGGATTTTACTTTTCTGAAAGATATCATGGCTTGTGTGGTTTTAGTTTGCTTTCCTATTTTACCTAAACTTTAACAAATTTGTAGTCAAAGTATTTTATTTTTGAAGAGGTAAAGATTTTTAAACTATTTTGTTTGGAAACAGTTTTTTTTAAAAAAAAAAAATGTGTATGATTAGAGTCAACCCTTGAGCTTAAGAACTAGGTGACAGTGTGCCATGAGCCTTCCTGTGCACGCCTCTTAGACATGCACTTTCCATGGTTTCAAGTAAGTCTTTTGAACCACACAGGTCCAGGCCTTTGCAGAGTAGCAAGGTGTGGCACTGCAATGAGGATGCTGACTGTCAGTTGTCCGTGATGCTTGAAGAGGCTTAAGAGATGTGGCCTTCTGGAGGAGTCAGTCACTGGGGGTGGGCTCTGAGGTTTAAAAACCACCAGCCAGCCTCAGTTTGTACTCCCTGCTTCCTGCTACAGTCCCAAATGTAAGTTCTCAGCCTCCAGCTCCAGCCTCAATGTCTCCGTTCTAGGGACTCTTACTGTTCTGGAACCATCAGCCCAAATAAGGCTTTTTTCTATAATTTGCCTGGGTCACAGTGTTTATCTTGGCAGTAAGAACGTAACTCACATACCAGGCCAGTGTAATACATGTCAGAGGCCTGGCCTCACAGCGTAACAGCAGCTTCAGTGACTGAGAGTTTTATTCTTTAATAGTGGAACCTAGAGGCATACCTGTATCTTTAAAATAGGATGCAGTTTTAGATGAGGCATGTACCTCTTAACTCTGAAGCTTAAGACTGAAAATAGATGCATAAATAGACTATAATCCTCCCTCCAATAAGCAGCAAAACTGTTGCTCACTATAGGAAAAATACATTTTCTCACTAGAAAATGCCACATTGGACTTTCCACTTATATATGTATTTTTTAACAAAGATCAAGAGTACCTGGGTGTTTGAACATAATGTGTAGAGCTGTAGCAGTAACTAGCTGTCACTGTTCAGAGAGGCAAAAGAGCACAATCCTGAGAGGCTCTCCCATTCATGTGGATTCATTTCCTCCAGTGTTCGGATGACTTTCAGATGAAGAAATGAGATCAAAAGAATATTTGTCTTTTTTCAGAAATGTATATCAAAAAGGTGATAATTATGGGTCATATGGTTTTTGATCTTAGGTTGTAAATGACACTCAAAGTTATACCCACTCTGCAAATGGGTTAGGTCAAAGCTTTCCACATGGGAGCTACATCCTGGGTTACCCAGGTAGGGCCAGCATGCTCATGGAAGTCTGTAAAAAAAAGGGGGGGGGAGAGATAGGAGAACTCTGAAGAAGGCTGCAAACGTTGAGAGGACAGAGAGGAGAACTTGAAAAGACAGAATGAAAGAAGCCTCTGGAAGCCAGGGGTACAGGACACACACCTTCTCGGGGAGCCCCCAGAAGAGCAGGGCCTGCCAGCCCTGGGGTCAGGACTCTGACAGTAGGTCAGTTCTCTTAAGACACTAAATTCTTGTCAATTTTGGAGTAACAAGAAGAGATGTGCACAGGCTATTCTACAGCTGCATAAGCATATACTGTATACAGAATGGCTTTAAACTATTCAGAGGACAAAGTTCATGCCTACTATTGTTTCTGTGAAACTGAAGATGCTTTAAAGTACAGACTAACATATGCTAACAGATGTTCAAAAGCCCTCTTGATCAGTCTCCTGGCCTTTGTTCTGTGATCCCTGCCCCCAGCAGTAGTCAGAATATCCCTTTCAAATATGAAGTTAATTTATTTCTTGCTCAGAAGCCTTCAGTGGGCTCCTGACAAATCCCAAGTCCCAACATCAACCTCTGTAGCAAAAGAATAAGAGAAGGGAAGAAGTAGTGGACACAGCAATGTCCTCTGGAGATGTCCTGCCATTAGCATATTGCTCACTATTGCTAGGACTTGTGTGCTTTTACTCACTTTGCCTAAAGCATCAAAGTTACATCGACAGATAGACAAGGGAAGCAGGAAAAGCCTACAGTGAGCTGGCTCACACAAGACAGAATGCATGAGTGATAGCTGGGCCAAATTAGTGTCACATTTTAGACTTGAGCTTCAGTACTGAGCTTAGCTAACAGGCGAGTTTCTGTTTATTGTAACTGTAATGCAGTCACAATATATAGGCTTTAATTATTGAATTTTTATTGAAGTATTTGCATAATACTTTTTATGTACTATCATGAACTATTTGCAGTCTTCATGTATCTCATTTTTGTTAAATGAGCAGTATATTTGTTAATAGTTTCCATAAAATTTTAATTTTATACAAATACCTTAGCCTAGCTAGCCTGATTCTTTAGCCTAATAAAATAAACATATTAAAGAGGGAGCTGGATCATCAGTATTTAATGCAGTTACACAGCACACCTAAGGAACCATAGGTATTTTGATGTTGGTCAGATCATTGGCTCTGCCTCGGCTTGGATCATTTATGGTTAGGAACTTAGAGCAATTCCATTCAGCTTTCCCAAAAGTCAGGAGCCTGAGAAATGCTGAGCAGAATGTCAAGAAGCCACAGTGGTGCTTTGTTAATAGTGCCATACAGCTGGGAAGAAGGATGTGTGAGCTGTCAATGAACACCCAGCATCAGAGCATTTGTGTCCTAGTGTCTGCTGGCAGCAAGGACAGACTGGAGCCTGGGCCTAAGTTCCCACAGACATCAGATGCTTGAGAAAAGTGACCTCCTTCAGCACGAAGCTTCATGCCACCACAGTCCACTGAATGTGTAATGTCTGTCTGCTCTTTGTAAAAACTGTAGTAGTGATTGCAGTGGAAGAAAGCTTGCACTTGATGCTCTGAGTTCTGAAGAATAAGCAGAATTGGGGAAGAGAGCCAAGTCTGTGGCAGGAGTCTCGGGTTCTCCTTACTCCAGACCCTACATTTGGCAAGCAATCCACCTAAAAATTCATTTTCTTATAAACCTTGTTAGGATGACAGCCTGGAGACTTAATTTTAATACTCTTTACTTAAAAGTTATGTTTACTTAAAAGTTATATTTGATGTGTGTGTATTTCCTAACTGAGTTGTAAGCAGCACTGAAGGACATTCTTCCCATCTGTGTGCAGCCTCTGGGACATAGGTGCACCTCGAGCACACAAAGCACTGTCATATGGTAGTCTGGGTAACCCACCCCAGTCACACAAACTAGAGACAGCCAGGAAAGCTCGGGGAAGGTGGCTGCATTCTTTAGGGGAAACGACCTATGTAAAGTGCAAGCTTTGTTGTATGTGTAGTAGGTTAAAATTCAGGGATGTCAAATAGACTGAAGTGACTTACATCAAAAATGTGAGGATCTCAGCAGAGTGTTGGAAAAGAAAAAAGTTCATGTAGTGCACACTTAAGAATTAAAATAGGATTTAAAAAGTATTTTCCTGAAAGAAAACTATTTTGTTTCTCTTTGCCATAGCATCATCCACTACCAGCAGAAGGTGTGAAAGGGGTGAATTTTTCTAGTTGATTTCAGAATTGGTAGAAATAGCAGCCCAAAGATGAAGGTGTGTACATGACTAAGGCTCCAGCCTCCTGAACATATGCAGAGATCACATGTCCTTTCACCTAGGGGAACAAAATACTTAGCTTCTAAGGAGTCCATATCCTAAAGCCATGCATTTCTATAAATGATCACTTCTATTTTAAAGATAATCACTGAGCTTGTCTCGGGACACCCTTACTATGGGTAAGCGCTGTATGCTTCTACTCCAGTCCAGTAATCCTCTACAGTAGTCCTTCTTAAATCCCATTCCAGCTCTGGAACACTAATAGCTCACTGGTCGAATAAGATCATAGGTTCAGACCAAACACCAGTGTTAGATTTTAGTTATTACAAATTTGTTTGAAAATTCTTCTTTGAAAAAGTTGCCTATTTCTGAGAACCAGTCACAGAACTAGATGAAGCATGGCTAGCCATTCCTGGCGCCCAAATGATGGTTTTTGATGGCGTCTTCTCTGGAGAGAAACCAAGGATCATTACAGTAGTCATTCATTTTACCTCTGTGGAAGAAACTGAATGCAAACTTGCCACACACTGATACACTAGAGACACAGTGAACACAGGACAGACAGCAAGGGCGGCAAAGTCAGCAGGCAGCTTGAACAGATTCTGGGTGAAGACAGACAATTAGAGCAGCAGGAAGATACTTGCATTGAACTACAGCAGAAATGCCCAAGTCCACCAGCTTGCTCGGAAAGGAGCAGCCCTGGAAACATACCAGGGACATGCACTGTGTAAAAAACAAAGGAAGATTACAGCACTATATTTAATCCATCCCTTCTAAATTGATCTTTACGGTAGTTATAAATGAGAAACAGAAGTTCTTTGTAGGCATATTCCTGCTTAGAAATGCATTTTTATGGTTATAGAAATTTACAAGTAAAACTATATGTTTCATTTTCAAAATATTCCAGTATTTTGGGCTAAAGGAAAGTTTTAGAGTGTGTGTCTGTGTGCTTCTGTGTGTGACTACATCTGAGAGAGAGAGAGAGAGAGAGAGAGAGAGAGGAAGAGAGAGAGAGGGAAAGAGAGAGAGGGAGAGAAAGGGAGAGAGAGGGAGAGGAGAGAGGGAGAGAGAGGGAGGGAGAGAGAGGGAGAGAGAAAGGGAGAGTGAGCAAACACAGTTGGACACATTGTAGAAATCAGAAGACAACCACCTGATCTTCTTCACCTGTGAGATGGGTCTTTGTTGTTAAGCACCACTGCATTCAACAGCTAGTTGCCCAGTGAGCTCTCCTGTTTTAGCCTCTCATCTCCCTCAGAACACTGGAACTAGAGCTGCCTGTACTATGTGTCTGGCTTCTGTGTAATTATTAGGGACTTGAACTCAGGTCCTCATGCTTACCAGTGAGCCATTTTCCCAGTTCTCAGGCAAGTTTTCAAAGGAGCCATGATTGAGTATTTGTGAACTCCTGTGGAATATAGGAGCTTATTATAGTAATCTTCAGCTGAAATGTCTAATATCTGATACAGCATAAGACTTGGATGGTGTGAATTTGTTGCTGTATTTTTAGACTATTCTCTTCTTTTGAACAGGGTTCGTATGGTCCATATTCCCCTGATGAATGCATTTCTTTGCCTGTTTATACAAGTGCCGAGAGGGATCGTGTGGTGACCAACATTGATGTTCCATGTGGTGGCAACCAGGACCAGTGGATCCAGTGTGGGGCAGCGCTGTTTCTTAAGAATCAGTAAATCTGAGGCAATGCAGGAGGACTTAGCAAAGTGACAGTTACTGCAATGCTCCACACAGAGCATGTAGTCTGTATTTGAAACATTAGTTCAGAATATCTGCTGCTAGTTGTTCTTGTTGATGGTCTCCTTGTGTTTCTATTTTAATAAATGTGTAACACCAGCACTATGTACCTTAAAGAATTTCATATTAAAGAGGGGTATTTTGTGGTAGGTATTAAATATTTTTATAAAGAAGTTTACTTTTCAATAGTTTAAATATTTACAATTTAAAGTTCTATATTTATGAAATCGATAATATCTTGGTTTCATATAATTACACATAAAGTTATTGTAGTTTATGGTTTTAAATATGTGTACACTCTGCTTTTAAGCATTGAACAATGTACAGAGGTATAATGAATGAATTATCTTAACAATTAAACATGATATCATTTCTTTGTGTCCATTAAATGACATAATATATATTAATATCCTAAATGTGAAGAGGAAGAATTCACATAAGAATGTAGATAATGAAACAAAGTCTGCTCATGGGATTTAGAGTTACCTTCTTTCTAGGAGCTTTGAAACTTGCATTTGAGCTCTGTGAGACTCCCTGAAATCCAAGACTGCAGTGGTGCTGCCACAGAGTGCCAGAGCCTGTATTACGTCCAGCTGTCTGTCTGTTCATGGAACAGATAGCTGTTGAGGGTTGAGGTGTGTGCTGCTGTCAGGCATGTTTAATAGCCATTCTTGTCTACTGTGTGTCTACACTTATGCCAGTGCTATTGGGGTTTTGTCAGTTTTCTTTGCATTTCCCCCAGTATCAGGAATGAAATTCAGGGTCCAGCGCAAGGTAGGCAAGCACTCTATGACTGAACCACACCCCCATACTTGGCATTTATCATCAAAGAAAAGTTGCATACTTAGAGGAGAAATAACAGCTGAAATAAAAGGAAAAAGAAACTATGAATTAAGAACCTCACAATAATACTCAAACACTAGAGAAATGATCCCAGAAACCAGAGCAAGAGGTAAAGAGATAAAGGAGCGTCCAACAGTGAGCAGGAGGATCCCATCCATACATCTGAGTCTTTGCCATCTGTCTCTAAGACTGAAATAATGGCTAAACACTTAAATCAATGTGTAATTTTGAAATTGCTGGAAAATAAGAAAAGCTTGAAAAATGACACATTTTCTTTGTGTTATTTGTATCCACTTAATTCTGACTGAGACAATAGTCATAGCCCACACTGTGATTTGAACACTGGAGGTTTATGTCACCTGGGATTATAGGTTGACCCATAATTCCCTGTGTGAGGTGAGATTTGGGATCCAAAAGGCAAAACCTTCACAATTAGGGTTAATAAGGAAGCTCCAGTAAGCTAAACTTTAACACAGCTAAAAGATGTCATCTCTGAACCAGAGGAGTACCTTCACCCGAGTCCAAATACACTAGTGCCTTAATCTTGGACTCTTAGACCCCAATACTGAGACAAATAATGCTCTATTGTTTATAAGCCACCCATCATATAATATTTTTGTTATAACAGGACAGACACAACACTAGAGACAGAAAGTAAATCAGCAGTTGCCAGGTGTGTGTTTGTATATTGATAAAATAATATAGAGTTCTAAGGAGCTAATTAAAATATGATTGTTAGGGTGTGGTCATGGAAATGTATTAATTCTATAATAGCTGATATAGCATCTTATAAGCTAACTAAAAAAGGCAGATTCTCTGAATGAATGATAGGGTGAAGAACAACTGCAAAGCCATTCTGGGACAATTGGATGAGAATTCAACTTCTTTTTTAGAGGCAAAGCTTCTCAAATTATAAAGATTATGATAAGAACAGCTGTTAATGAAATAAATGAGCCTATAGATGATACTGCATTTCATGTGGCATAAGCATTTTTGAAACCAAAGTAATGTCATGGCATTTCTGAAAATCTTAGAAAGTGTTGGGGATGAATGTTCTGTGCACCCCAAGAAATATAATAGTGAAGTGAGCTGTTATATGTAAAAGGATGGGGATATGGGGAGTAACCACTAATGAGTACAGGGCCTCTATGGGAAAGCTGTGGAGACAGCTGCACAAGACCATGACTATACCAAAAAGGCTCAACCGAGTGCCTCTGATGCTGTGTGATTTACATTACCAATAAAGATGTTAAGGATGCATGTGGATGTTTCACAGGCCCTTAAATATACAGCATTCATTTCAGTAGCTGCAAATTGGCATCCTGCAGCTTTTATCTAGTGTAACTAAATTTATTTTTGTAATAACTGCATTCAGAGTTTTTATTATAAGTAGTCCTCCAATAAAATACTACCATAAGTAAATGGGATTTAAAAAATATTTAGGTTAAATAATTACAACTAAAGGTTGACCCAAATTGTGTATAGATACTTCATTCTGAAAGGTGCTTCCATTGAGAGGCCAGCAGTTCTCCCAGCACCAGCATTGGGTGAAGCCTACTGGCTCCCATGCTCCTAATCTCCACAGCACTGACTATAACCTGACTGTTTCGATCATGATCCATTGCTATTTTAATTCACATTTTTTAAAATCTTTAGCTGGATTGAAGACATTTTTCTGGTTTCTTTTTTCCAAGTACTTGCTTTCTTTCATACCTTTTCTTTTCTAATACTTAGGATTTTCACACTGAGCTTTTACAATATATTTTTCTTTTGTATCTTTTGGGCTAGTGTGAAACATTGCCTATAATTAAGGAGTGGCGCTATTTGAAAAGATTAGAAGGTTGGTTTCATTGGATTGGAGGAAGTGTGTCACTGGGGATGGGCTTTGGGATTTCAAAAGTGTGTCTGTCTTCCTGCTGCCTGTGGATCCGGATGTAAAACTCTGAGCTCCTTTTCTATCTATCACCATGTCTGCTTGTGTGCTGCCATGTTTCTTTCGCAACATTCTAACAATGGACTAAAGTTTTGAAACTCTAAGTAAACCCCAGTTAAGTTCTTTCCTTTGTAACAGTTGCAGTGGTCATGGTGTCTCTTGTAACAGCAATAGAACATTGTCTAAGATACCATCTTAACCCCCAGGGATATGTTAATAAGAAAATTATACTATTTCCATTTTACATAATTAGATCTTTAATCTTAATCATTTGCACATGACAAAGGTCAGCTAGGTTTTTCCAGATGAATAGACAATACACCAATAGCTCACCTGTTCACTAACATAGTCTGTGATTTATGCTCTTCCTCCCTGCCTAATAAAGTCAGTTCATTAAATTATCTCTTATCAAAATTAAAATAATTTTAAACTTCCCAGAAGCTTTTATGTTCTCTTCTTGGACTTCTTTTCCATGTCACTAATTAATCTCTTTCTGTTCCTCCTTCACCTAGAATCTCCTCTTCTCACTTGGCTCAGTGTCTTGAATGCTTATGAAGCTGTTGTCTGTGAGCTAACCAACTACTCTGAGGTCATGCTATAAAGTACTATAGACAAGTAGTTTGTGATTAAAAATGTCTTCCTCAACATTCTGGAGCTCAGGACTTCAGAGTGAAAAGGTCCACCAATTTGTTTCCTTGCTGATTGACAGAGAACCCTCTCACTGTGTCTTTCACATGGTAGAAGGCCAGGGGCTCCTACTCTAATACCAAATTATGACTTAGAAATAGAGTCTCCACCATGTCCAAGCCCACTCTTTTGTTGTTATAAGATGGGCCCATAGCTCTAGAAACACAAGCTCTCCATTTTGGGTGGCTCTCCACTCAGTTCTTGTGGTAGGACACTATAGGAAAGATCACATGCCAAACGATGGGACACATCTGTCTCTGCTCTTGCTAGTGTCAGCCTTGGAAACTACTCTTGTGACAGGGAAGGTAATTTCCAAAGCCTTTGAGAGGAGCTTACAGACTCTTAGCACTTACCACGTAACACATTTCTCCTGGCACCAACTTTCAGTCCTATTGTGCTCCTTCATAAGCTTGGTCCAATCAAATATGATATTTGACTATAATCTAAAAACAGAAATTTTGTAGGATGCTGTCTTGGAGTTACCACTACTGTGATAAAACATCATGATCAAAGCAACATGGGGAGGAAAATCTCCCTTGCCTAGGGCTTCAAGTGTCTCAAGGATTAGGCCCATATTCTCCGACTGAGGCCAAATCAGACAGTTCTCCACTTCATATGTGCTGGGGTCCTCAAACCAGGCTGTGTATGCTGCTAGGTGGGTGACTCAGACTCTAGGAACTCCCACAGGTCTAGGTTAGTTGAAATTGCTGATCTTTCTATGGGGTTTCTCTCCCCTTCAGCTTCTTCAATCCTTCCCCTAATTCAACCATAGGGGTCCCTGACTTCAGTCCAGTGATTGGGTATAAGTATCTGCGTTTGTCTCAGTCAGTTGGTGGACAGTCAGAGGACAGCCATGCTAGTCTCCTGTCTGTAAGCATACCATAGCATTAGTAATAGTGTCAGGCCATGGTGTCCCCCACTACCCACCCATCGGATAGATCCCAAGTTGGGCCAGTCACTAGACCACTTTTCCTTCAGTCTCGTCTCCATTTTTGTCCCTGCAGTTCTTTTAGACAGGGACAATTCTGAGTCTGAAATTTTGACTGTGGGTTGGTAGCCCCTGTGCGCCGCGCAATCATCTTGCCAGCAAGAACGCACGCGGACACCAGGGTCCTTCTGCAGCAAACGTTTATTGTGATGAAAGGAGGAAGACCCCATGCCCTGAAAAGGCACTGCTTATATTCCCCTGGAGCGGCGTGTTCATATCTGATTGGCTGCTTGCTCAGGAATGCATTTTACGCCCCGAGATGAGCCGTGATTTGGCGCGCTTTTACCATAGCACATGCGCGGTTTACTTGTTTACTTGGAGGAGCACCGGATGCCAGCACCATCTTGTAATGGTGAATGCTGTCAGCACAAGCCGCGGCTTTCCACATCTCCCCCTTTTTGTTTTATTGAGATGGAACTGCCCTTGGCCTGTCTAGCGCGGTACCAATCATGACTCAAACTCAAGCCCGATCAAGCAAATTCCATCTTGGGGGAATAAGAGATCAAGGACTGATAAACAGTTTAAGACAGTCTTCCTTACCCTACCAGGTGCAATGGAAACAAGTCCTCTGGGTGCAAGGGCTAGGGGAAACAGAGAGAGATGCAAACACCCGTCCCTGTGCAATGGAGCCATCTCCCAGGGCTGCAAGGGCTGTTTGCCTCAAATTCAGGTACCACAGCTACACAGACAAGGACCAGCCAGGCCAAGACTCCTCACCGACC